TCCTGGTCGGAGCGTCGTTCCACGTCGTCCGCCTCCTTGGCCCATTCGGACCTCCATGACCTCTTGGCCCATAGCTCCTGGCCCTTCCGGCTTGGCCCTGAGGCGCGGAGCCCCAAGCCTTCGTCGTCGTCGTTCGCCTCCCGGGCCATCCCGGACCTCCCTGGCTTCCTTGCACCTGGCCCCCACGCGTCTCCTTTTCCCTCGGCGCTCCCTCGGGCAAGCGCCAGGGCATGCGCGCCACTCGTGTACAAGGAAAAAGTGATGGAGGAGGAAGTGGGGGAAGGGAGGAGGGGGAGGAGGAGGAGGAGGAGGAGGAGGAGGAGGAGGAGGAGGAGAAGCGGGGAGAGGAGAAAGACAGGGAGGAGTAGAAGGCGGAGGAGGCGGACAAAAAGAAGGGGGAAGAGGAGGAGGGGACAGGAAGGGATGAGGGAGAGTGGGAGGTCGGGGGGCGCGCAGGGGTGAGAGCAGAGGAGGAGAGATCAAGGGAAGCAGGATGAGAAGAAAGACGGGGAGCGGGAATGGTGGAGGGGGGGAGGGAGGGGGAGAGGAAGGGGGGGGGAACACAGACTCTCACCACCTCCTCCTGCTGTTCCTCCACACCTCTCCCTCACACATAACCCCTCTTCGTCGCACCACCAGACGTGTCAGCACGGGGGCCTGGCGTTTCGCCTTCGAGATACTCACAACTCGTACAGACATGATGCTGCCGCGTAGACCGACTCTGTGGGATCTACGGGGTGCGACCTACGGGGTACAAGATGTGAGGCGTCCAGTACAGAATGCTGTGTCTGTTGAGCGGTAGCCGTTTAACAACTTGAAGTCGTCCACTCCGATGCTGGAGCAAACATCCACCCAGCCATCCGCAGCATGCTGGCAAACTCAGCAGAATGGCTCGAGCATTCTTCTCATGCAAAGCCATGACTTGGCCGGGCGGGCGATGATGACAGTGGTGGCGCCAATGCTGAGGGCGACGGCAAAGACGATGAGGATGACGATGACGATGACGATAGTGGTGGTGGTGGCGACGATGGTGATTGTGATGAACATGATGGTGATGATGAGAATGACGTTGGCAAATGATGACGATGGCGATGATGCTGGCGATGATGCTGACGACGATGCTGATGAAGACGGCGCGAAGCGCGCACAGCAACCCTGACACGCATGGTATGATTTGACAGAGTTGGCGGGCGCACGATGGTTGCTGGACGATTTCGGCATGCGCGCGCATGTGGCCCGCATGGTTCGTGTTACTTGACAGACTGGCCAAACAGATGACTCCGTATTCACTATTTGTTTAATAGCGGGTGGATGGCGACATGCGCCCCTAGGGGCGACAAGACCATAACAACCGACGTAATCTGGCAGAGTAGACAGCGACGGAAAGAAATATCTCCCTTGTCAAGATTTCGCGACGGCCGCCTTCTGACCGTTTGGAATGCAAAATGGGAGATCAACGCGCAGAGATGTACATACCTGTTTGGTGTCCAACATAGCCGCGCCGTGCCTGTTCCATCATGGGTATCACGAAGAATCCCTCGATACGAACGTCGGCCAGAAAGTAAACTCTTAGCACGTCAAAATCATTTACATTACATGCACGATAACTCTCTCTTGCCATTCTCCCATGCAAAATGGAAGGTCAACGCGCAGAGATGTACATACCTGTTTGGTGTCCAACATAGCCACGCCGTGCCCGTTCCATCATGGGGATGACGAAGAATCCTTCGATACGAACGTCGGCCAGAAAGTAAACTCTTAGCACGTCACAATCGTTTACATTACATGCACGGTAATTGCCTCTTGCCATTCTCCTGTACAACGTTATGTGACTGTTACCACTGATCGTCGACGCTACTGTGCGCGACTTGTTCTGAACACGGATGCTGTCATCGATAACCATGCCCACAGGGCCATACGGTTATCAGGCGCAGCTACACTAAGCCCTGCTGCACAGAGCAAGTTCACAGCAAGTGCGTGAACAATCAGTTCTGCCCTTTGTATAGGTGAGCAAGGCGTGCTCCAAATATCGGCGGCGCGCCGGACAGAATCTTGCGCATTCCAAGCAGCATGGCTTTCAGACGATAGACTACGCCAAACGCATCGATAAGCGTCCCACTCGCCACCATCGCTAATTCTAATGGTTTCTGGCGTCGCGTCGCAACCTGTAATTACCCACAACAACTCTTCATCCATAGCCAAGAATACCAACAACAAACATCTGTATTTGTTCACCCGATTGAGACAATAGTTTCTCAAGTGCGGCTTCTGAGTGAATTTGCACTGGATCCCAATCCAAGAACTTTGCCAGAGCGAGTTGGATCTGATGACTCCGTCAGCTGATGTCCCTTCGCACAGCCACCTTAAATTCAACGAATCGCTGAGGTGTTTCTCGACTAGCAGTTTCGATGCTGCCTCTTGCGCACGGCATTTCTTCAACTCGAGCTACATTCACCTGCTCATGGATTGCGGAAGCGAAGCTTGGCGCCGAAGTGACCAGCTCCCTAGCAGAATTTAACACGTGCGGCGAAAGAGAGCGGCGTGAATATTGTCCCTAGGAGCTGTTCCTTGCGTGTCAGCTGCGAGCCCAAGACTAGCCCATGGTGCGCTATGCTGAACTCTTGTGAAAGGGAACACCCCTGATATCACGTATTCGGCGAGACATGCCTCTTTACCTCGCTAGCAATGCCCAGAAACATCACGCAGCATTGGCCTCAAAAATGATTGCTGCGCCCATGACCCGCTGCAGATCAAGATGAACGTGTTCGGACTAAACATGCTTGAGTCAGAACGGCTCGAACATAAACTTATTGAGCCAAAAGGACGTGAGCAAACGAACGACTCCGTATGATTTTAGCGAGTACGGCGTGCAGAAGATCTGGCTTCTTATGCACCGCAAGTTGCTCTTCATGTGCCTTAAAACAAAAAGTCTTGACTTCGTCCGACACACAACGATGTTTGAGCGGTTCGGGCATCAGCTCGCGGGAACCGCCTTTTTACCCACATGAGATTAATTGAGACGGATTCGATGAAAAAACACCTGTCCGATCAAAGCGAAAGTTCCGCATAGCATGAGCTGACAGAGACAAGGGGGCGGTACATAGACCTGGCTGGGGCCGTGTGAGTTCCTACATGTGATGGACGACCGTACGGAATACGTCTGAAAAGCCGTCATCAGAGCGAACGTTCCGCATAGCATCAGTTGACCTGGATATAAGGGGGCGGTAGATGGACCTGGCTGGGACGGCGTGAGCTCCTACATGTGATGGACGACCGTACCGAATATGTCTGAAGAGCCGTTGCGCGGGGGAAACCGTTGAGCGAGCGACCTTTCATCCGATGCTTCTGTGCAGTGCCATTTCGGCTGAAGAGCCCCTGGAGGGCGAAAGCTACCTGCGCTTGGCACACAAAATACATCAGCATCCGAGCAGGCTTGATAATCCTTTCGATCGGGCGGGCAGAGCCCACGGCCGGGGACGTTCGCTTCGAGGTGCCGCAGCGGCGGCCCCTGCGGCGCGCTGCGCCCTGCGAGCGGACAGCGCGCCGCTCCGCCCCGCGGGGCCAGGGCCAAGCTCGGGACGTGGACGCTCCGAGACCGGAGCGTGGCCGGCGTGTCGCGCCGAAGCGTGGCGGCGCCAGGACCGGCGGCGCTCTCCTGACCCCGTACAGTCGGGGCGTTGACCCAAGGAACCCTGAATAAGGAACGAGGCCCCTTTTTTCCATAAGTTAACCTTCGATTTCCCATCGAAAACAGAAGGAAACCCTGAGGCAAGCTGCGAAACAATCAAGGAACACGGAGCCCCTCCCCAACGAAGAGGGTTCCTTCTTCAGGGCCCCGACTGTAGCATCCTTCAGGAGAGAGCGAACACACTCTTGGATCTGCGGCGAGCTGGACCCAGCAGGCGGTCGGCGAGCGGCGGGGCGCGGCGCGAGCGAAGTAGGCACACGGGTAGGGGAAGGCAGGAGGAGAGGGAGGGGAAGGCCGCGGGACGGAGGGAGCGCTCACAAAGCGTGGAGAGCTTCGAGAGGTGCTCGAGCCAGGCGCAGGGTCGCGACGCTGTCAGAGCGGGCACCGGTGCACCGCAGACCCAGGGTGAGGAAGCGAGCCATGCGAGAGAAGAAAGATTTGTTTACTCGTGGTTCCAATTTGTTTTTTATCTATTTTTCTATGCTGAAGGGGCCCTGGGACACACAAATAAATACACACAAATAAAATAATTCCCCATATTTTCCCACACTTTCTGGGTTTCTGTCTTCCCCCCCACTTCCCATATTTTCGCATGTTTTCCTGGGGATCGACGATTAATTGTGCCTGTGTGTGTTTTTCCCCTCCTGATATGCGAGCGAAGAGAGAGCACACAGCGAGCAGTCTGCAAAGGGGCTGCGCGCGCGGCGAGCCGTGCCGCCCCGGTCGCGGGGCACCGCCCAGGCGCCGACCACGTGGGCACCGGCGTGGGCCACAGCGGCCGGCCGACCGCGGCAGGCAAGAGCCCCACAGGGCACGGAAGGGGCCCTGGGACACGCAAATCAATACACACAAATAACAAGATTCACCATATGTTCCCATATTTTCCCATATTTTCCCATATGTTCCCCATATGTTCCCATATTTTCCTATATTTTCCCATATTTTCCTATATTTTCCCATATTTCCCCATATAACCAGGTTCCCCATATTTTCCCATATCTTCTGGGTTTCTGTCTTCTCCCCCACTCCCCATGTTTTCCCACAGTTTCTGGGGCATCGACGGTGAATTCTGTCTGTGTGTGTTCTTCACTCCTGAGGCACCTGCGATCGGCCACCGACGCCCAGCACGCCAGTGCGCCCACCGCGGCTCGAGACGCACTGCGGCTGCGTGGCCCGAAGCCGCACAGCGGCCCACAGCTACGGCCAGAAACTTTTGGACAGCGTGCCGCGGCGACGGCCCGGGCGACACGCCAGGCCCTGCAGCCGGATGGCGTGTCGCTCCGCTCCGCGGGGCGGGAGGATGGGAAGGCTCGAGACGTTGACGCTCGGGGACTGCGGCGTGGATAGCGTGTCGCTCCGAAGCGTGGTGGGTCAGAACTGGCGGAGCGACACGCTGAGCCATACTTCCTGACTGCAGCACCGTATAGATGGCAGCTTCTTTTCAAGGCGAGCACATCACTGGTTATCGCCTCGCACCTTGTTACCATAATGCAAAAATTCTCGCAGCTGCATGGATCGATGGCGGCTCACATCCTAGTAAGGCCCCGAGCCCTTGGCCATGGCAGGGCACCTGTCCCAGCGATCTCGACGAAGAGGCGGCGATCCCATGCGCTGCGCGGCACACTGGCACCGCACGGCGCCAGGAGCCGCGCGGCACCGCCGCGAGGCAGCCGACCTCGCTGCCGCGCAGTGAAGCGCGACTCCGCCGCGGGCCGCCGACCCTCCTGGCTGCCAAAGCACGCGGACGCCGCACGGCACCGCGCCGCCGCGCGCAACCGATGTGGTCTGCGAGCACGCGGGCGTGGCACCGCGCAGCACTGCACGGCATGGCCGCGGGGAAGCAATTCCCGCCCTCAAGCGCGGGG